GGCCGTGGTTTTGGCGGTTTTGCTAATTTAGACTAGACTTGTGGGTGGATGACTGATGTTCCGACATGTCAGAATGTGTGCGTACAGGTAAGTGCGGAAAGCCAAACACCGAAGCTTCCACTCAAAGACTATACAGCCTTGCCAAAGGCATACGGATACGGGCAATGCACAACTAGAGGGTGAACTGTAGCCCATACCCTGACTGCTGCAACCCAAATCACTTGAATACTGGTTGAACCATACAATTGGAAACCGCACAAGCCCTATAAACACCTCACCATGATGTTACGTCATATGACTTTATGTTATATTTTATTATACTACACATTTGGTAATGTTATATTGCATGATTGCATGACCCTGGTACAACTGATCCTCTGAGGTACCCATTCCCGGCAGATTTTGAGCTGCCCTTCGGGCAGGATGAGCGGGTGAATGCCCAATGCCTCAGACTTTGGGGCTTTGGGACACAGATTTCGGCGGGGTAGGCTCCCTCAAGAAGGATCTTAATTCTTAGGGTGCTGTATTTGGTGGTTTGAGAGAAGTCTAGCGCCCAGTGCATTGTGGAGCTTCGGAATTGGAGTTCGGTTTCTGCGTTTTCCAGCCAAAACGTCGAGCGATGTTGTTGGGTGCATCGGTTCAAGCGTCCACATGATATATACTTTGGCCTCGAAAGGCTTCGCATGATGCAGCTGTCTTCCATTGTACTCAGAACTTCCTCAGGTTTTATGCATCCGGTATTGCTACTCGCAAGTGTTGATCCCTTGCCCGTCCCCTTCAGTCCCAATTGATCGTCGATGCTCAGCTCTCCCACTATCGTGACTCCGGGCTATAAGCCTAGCAGTTCGAGGCCAGGGTTCAGCGTCCATGGCTTCCAGGTTTGGCGTTGTGCCGACAGTATATACCTTGTAGTCACTATGTAGTATAAGCTTGGGGATAGCCATCGTGGTGCCATGCCGCGGAGCCCCACTCTGTGGGCTGTGATCCCTCTTCTCGCCTTCTTCCACTCGCAGACATTCTGCACCCACCCGGTTTGGCAACACGTCGCCGGGGCCAGTCAGCGAAACAGAGGCACCGTTCCCTGTCGGGCCTACGAACCACATGTTCCGCCTGCTGACAGACTCGCCAACGTGTGGGACGTGCCCGCAGGAAGGTTTGAAGAAATGGCAAATGCCATCACTGCTTCCAAGACAAGGCTGCCAGAATGGTTTACAGAGAATATCCGCGAAGCTGCCGCAGAAGCTGGAATCACGAAGATTTCGGAGATCTCACTTGCTGGTTCAGAACTTACGCGAACTGCCATCAGATATTCATCAGATTTGGATGTGAATGTCAACACCGTGGAGTGTGTAACGCGATCTCAACGAAGCAAGTTCAAGGACTTCTTGGTCAGCTCCATCGTCAAGCGGTTTCGAAACTGGGAGTTTGAACATATGGGAAAGAAGTGCATTGTTCTCATCCAGACGAACGCCCAGGAGAATACACGGGTGGATATTGCCTTCGTCAATACCTGCTTTGACACCATCATTGACCGCGGAGAGAACGTAGGTTTTTTCCGAAACAACAAAGCCGCGCAGCAAGCCGTCAGGATGTTCAAGCTTGCCTTCCTTGATGTGTCCGGGCTGTGTGGCTTCCACATTGAAAGGCTCGCAATGAAATTGTCCGAAGCGGCCGGGAAGCAGCTGGAAGGTAGAGTCCTGTGGACACGCATGCTACGGGAAGTGCGGAAGCAAGGGCCGAGCCTGCGTCTGGTCATGAAAGAGGCCTTGCTAGAAGTTGAGGATGACCAGAAGGATGCAAGGGAGGCGCAGCTTCATGCCCAAGTTACACGAATGCGCAACGTCGTGAAGGATGCTGGGGTCTTCGGAGCCGAGGCACTGCACCCCTTAAGCGCTTGACGTTTCGGTGCACCCCGCACCCAACGTCTAGTTTTAACAGGCCACGGTAGGCTGCGGCCTTGCAACAGTGGGGAAACGCCCCGTTGCCCTTCCGGGTTTCAGGATTCAGGCTTCAGGAGTTGTGCCCTTGGATTGATTAGAGCCTTTGCTCGTGGACACTGCCAATCGAAAGTGTCCTTGGAACGTCCTCATACATGTACGTATGCATGCATATATGTGTGCATGTGTGTGTATATTTCTATATATGTAAAGATCTTGGCCTAGAAATAGATGGAGACATAGAAATGGAGACACACACACACACAGAGACAAACACAAACCTGCGTGCCTGCGTACGTACCTACCTGCCTACCTTCCTCACTGACATACAGTCATACTTACAGCGCAGCCCAACCCCTAGGCCCTTGCACGTAGATGCTTAAGCTCAGACTTCAAGCTTGGATCTTCAACTGCAACTCAAAAGCTAAACCCGAACGCGGGAAGCTGCGGAAGTGTCATTCGAAGTCCTGCTGTCGATAGCGACCTGCTGGGCAGAAGCCTGCTTACGACAAATTCGTCTAGCCTTCTTATAAGTTAAGTCTTAACAGTGGTCGGGTGATTCGTCGGTGGTTGCGCCTTGACACCGCATATATAGGTTTGTGAGCTGATCCTTGCTTGCGAGCTGCTTTGATCTTGTTGATGCTCAGGTGATCTCACATTTGTGCGACTCACCGGGAGGTGCGCTTTCAGGGTTGTTCGGTCGTTGGGACTCTTGCACCCAATGACAGTGCAAGGTAGATCCTACACTGCACTCTTACTGCCCTCTCAAACGCAGTTGCTCAAACAGCGCTTGCCGCTTTGATTGATGGAGGTGTCAGGGGGCTGCTGCACCGGGCCCGGGCTTTCCCTTGGTCGAGATAGGTCAGACAGCTGTGATGTCGAGGTGTAGGACGAGCCGTGTCTTGAACAATTAAGTACATCATTCGCTAGTAGGAGGCCTCATTCAAGCCTGCAGAAATGCAGGCAGCCACGCGCAGGATTGCAAACCCAGTCACCCAGTCGAAGCCTGGCACAGATTACGACACTCTCCGACTGACCTCCCTTGTAAAATCCCAGCCTCTTCACCCAAAGCCTTCCCCCCCTTAGGACAGCCCATTGAACCCCTAAACCCGGAGCCTTTGGCCAGAACATAAGCCCTGAAGAGCCTGGAGGACCATCCACGATTGCAGTGCTCCTACCCGGAGTGCACGGTGGAGTGGGCCCGCCCTGGCCTCGGCAACACCGGGATGTGGAGTCAAACCGTAGAGTTTCGGGTTGCGGCTTGGGTGACTTCCTGGGGCGCTTCAGGCTCATGTCTCGGATGGATTTCCGCGGCGATTACTGTTGACTCTTGCCATTGCTACTGTACCAATTCCTGCTGTGGCATACTGTGGTCTGGTTTGAAGAAAATATAAAATGTTGTCGAGCCTTGATGATTTGGGTTCAATCTTAGAGGTTGGCGAAGGTTGGGAACGCGTCGTCCCTCAGCGAACTGCGACGCGAGTGGCAGGACCATACTATGTCGTCTCGTTGCTTCTCATGCGGATTCTGGTCAAGCTGCCCATTTCCGTGTTTCATATGCTGCCCCTCAAGCCCAACAAGGACCCCGAAGCTCTGACCATGAACGCCCCCAAAAACCTTAAAGCCCTGTACCTTTCAGGATAGAGTTGAGCGGCTCATGGCCTTGTTGGGGATGATGATCTGCCCTGACGAGCCGCCGGTCCCACGTATTCAAACCCTTAGCTCGAACCGTTCTGAACCCTATGGCCCAAACACCAATCCCTGACGTCCCTGAACCCTAAAGCAAAGCTGGCGTAGGTGCCGCGAGCCGGGGAGCAACTTTGATGCGAACTGTTTGTATGCACTGGTGGCCCAAAGGCGAGGTGTCCGGTTTGAAGAAGGCTCTCGAAAGAGGATTCGGAGGATGGTCCATGTGTATATTATATATATATATGTGTCTCTCTCTCTCTCTCTCTCTCATTTAGTCTGATATAATATACATATATATATATACATACATACATACATACATACATACAGACATACAGACAGACATACGTACATACATAC